CATTCAGCTCTTCAAAACACAAACGCATCCTCAGTTTACTCTACCCAAAACTTGTCCAACAAAAGAACAGAGGATAAAAATTCTTGATGCATCGTTTTGCCCGTATCACGACTTCTGTATTAGGACTTATCCAGACTGACTAAGTAGCGAGATGTTTTATCAGATTACTTGCACCATTGAATCCTTGAAGTGTAACTTTAAAACCTACCAAGCCGATAAGATGTGCCCAAATTCAGTGCGGGTGAAATTCAGTTTGAAAGGTGCGGATCTGTTGTCGTCAACTTGTTGTCCACAAACACTTGAAGAGATTGTTCACCAATTCGTTCCGTATTGACCGATTATTAAAAGTACACTTTATGTAGCTGCATCTGGATCGAAACTCTCAGATTTTTTAATCAAATTGTAGTTAATCACACCAAAAAAGTAGGAGTTCACGACGAACATCATTCTTCCAAAAGGAGTGTCAGCCGTTTGGGTGTGGTTCTTGGTTTAACAAGCTGCTGACTTATCCAAACATTTTGAAAAGTTTCGGGACCGATTGAGAAGTCATCGTTTCAGAAGGGCTTGGTAAACAATCTGTAGTTTTTAATTACGCAACGTTTCGCTTTTGACACAAAATTAATTGGCCTGATGAAGTTTTCGTGTCAAAAGCGAAAGTTATCCAGATATTATTCTGACTGTTGTTGGGTTGTTAGGATCCCCTGTATTAACCATTGATCCCTGTTAATTCTAAAACCATGAGAACGGCGCTTCGTCAACTGATTACATTCTCACTTTGTCTCTGTTCCATAACCACTCGAATTTCAGTTCCGCTAGATAATACCCATCGATTTCCCCTACGCTCATCGATGGATTATAGCAGGCTCCCCTTTGTGGAAGACAGATAAGTTCCATATTGAAGCCAAACTCATACTCAAACTAAAAAACACAAGGACTTCCAAGAACTCGCTTATACGAAGTCAAGCTCTGTACGGCTGATTTAACGTATGCATGTATCAGAATAGTTGTTTCTTCCTCCGCCAAACAACTGCCGAAAGCTAATAAAGCCTGACCGAATACCTCCACCGAGGTCACGAACACAGGAACGTAAATCCGTTCTCGAATTACAGTCACTAAACTGTAAACTAAGCTGGTACATGTTTCAAAAACGGTTCAAATTGTGGTGGTGCCCCACTTTGCAAGGTGCCTTGTAAGCTTGATGGCGTGTCAGTTGATCGATGTGACTGTCATTGTTTTATCGAGTCCGATCAAGTGAATTATGGATGAACAGTTTTTCGTTTTTTTTCTATCTGGTTAAGCTTTCGAATGACCCCATTAGACGATGTTGCCATTTGACAGTTACCAAATTACTGAGTCTCCATGAGAATTAGAGAAGTTAGGCATCTGGTTTCTAACCTCTGCTGCTCTTTTGGTTTATTCAACCGAGTGCATACAATAAAATGAACAATGAATGAGCGCTTGAGCTTTAAGCCTGGATGTGTTCCATTGTGGTCAATACAAACGATGCCTATTTCACCTCTACGTCTAGGTGGACGTATTTAAAGTTCCTTACAAAGTGTTGTTTATTCTTATTTCTGTACAAGAAGAAAAATGTTGAAGATCCGCTAAAAATTCGAATACTAGAAATGCATTGATTGCTACCACCACGAGTATTTTCTAATCCAATGAGCTAAAGAGGTATCAACTCACAAGTATTCGGGGGCAGCTGTGCGGTTGGAAGAGACAGTCGCACTAGAACCACACAGGCATCAATTGGTATCTCAGTCGGCTTGGTAATGAAGCAAATGCGTTGGTGACGGAAAGATTGCAAAGTCCCGTGCACCTAACTAGTTCAGGCATCTCAGTTCTACGTGTAGAACGAACCATATACAGAGAAATACTAATTTAGCTTCCATAAGCCTAATGTTAGATGTGTTGAAATACGTATGTGTACACGGAAAATGACTAACAAATTACATGACTCCGGAATAATGTATCTGAAGTAGCCATGGAATTCAAACAAAGTACTTCGAAAATTCGCTATAAAAACAGCGTTCAGTGAAGTATCGAGTCATCCTGTTAAATGTGACTCTGGCATCTGTAAATTTGAACGAGAAAATGCAACAGCCCCTAAGATAGCCCAAAAGCATCTTTCAGTTGCAGAGGTCGTTACAGGTTACCAATTGAAAAATATTAGCCTACCGTGTGGAGTTATGGTACGCCACACAGCACAGACTGACGACCAGAAAATTTCACAGCTTGTATTAGGATGTTTTTCATAACAGGCAATGACCGAAGGTTATAACGGGATAACGCACTGAAAAGTGGAGTTGACGAATGTAACGCATGGGACCAAACAATGCAATTTCAAAGTTTGCAGAGATATTTTGGCCCAATAGTTTAATAAAACAATGAGATCTAGGCCAGTTGGTTATACGGTGGAATTCACGATGCTTCAGACTACAATCAATATCAGTCAGGTATCTACGTCAAAGTCCCCTAACATTTTGGAGCTTTGTCATCTCTTCCTCCACAAGACAGTTGATAGAATCGTCCATTTCAAAACTTATGCGTTGCTCTTTGAATCACGCACAGCAGTTGAATTCGCTCGCAACAGCATCGTGAAGCTGAGACCTGACCGATAGCGTTTGGTTTACTCCCATCGTTGAGCCTTCCATTTCATGGTCAGGTCTAAAGGGAAGTGGGGGCCTACCAGCCCGAGTGTGTGGAGATTACGCATTACGGTCTAAATCCTGGCACCACGCCTACCAGCCCGAGTGTGTGGAGATTACGAATTACGGTCTAAATCCTGGCAACGCTAACAGTATGTGCCTCGTGGGTAGCACCAGAATCTTTATTTCGACCGTGCTGGATAACCTGCCAGTGCACACGGTCAACCGTTGGCCGGTTGAATTGTACGATCCATAAGGCTGATCTTTACTAACCTATCCGCATCGCCGCATACTTAAACGTGCACATGATGAACGTCTAGAGGGAGTACCTAACTGCCTCTGCACTTCCATCTCAGAGGACAGTACGCCTTTACCCCCAGATCATCCCCAAATAGAGTTTTTCTTGAAACAAGGAATCGTTGCTCTCCGTCAGACTGCTCTTCTTTAACCTTCCTAGTATGACTGAACCTTGAAAAACTGAGTTAGAGCCAGTGTAGCTTGCAGAATAATTATAGTAATGAAGTCCTACCACCAGGACAGGTTGAGGGCGAAGAATATACACAAAATTATCCCTACCGCGCGCAGTAACTTGACTCGAAGACGGTCAGTTATTGTGGGAACCTTATCATTGCTTTTTTTTCTCGTGGAAAGAAACAATATGTCCTGATTTTCACACACCGCGAATTGGTAACGAGCTCGAGAGAGCCCATGATTTTTGAACTTCTGGAGTCAGTAAATATGCAGTATGTATATTACGTAAGTTAGACCGATTAACACAAAGCGTCTTAGCAATGCAATCGAGCGGTCGATATTCCCTTTCGTCCTGCGTGGCCAGATCAAGTCAATCAGATGAACACACAGTCAGTTGTAACTAAGGGATGTAGGTGCTTGAACCACAGGTAAGGTCGCAAAACACTTCTCGACACTCAGCATTCAGCTTGGGAAAACTGGTTCAACAGGTCAGCTGGCAGCTTTCACAAACGAAATCGGTGTTGAGTGTAACATAGTTCGCTTCGGCTGCAGATAGCTCATGAGTTAAGGCACGAGCCAATAACCAGTAAGTTATGGTTCGAACCCAGCATGGTTTTCAATAGAATAGCCTGGCAGTAGTTTGGCTTTCGTGCTTATTTTAAGTTGCATGGCGTCACCTCACCAAAAAGGTGCAACAACTGATCAATCTAATATTTTGTCTATTAGCATTCCTTTCGGATTTATGGCTCTTAAAATTACCTGTCTGTGGTCCTGAAATCAGCAGTCCTCATTGAGATACGGTTAACCATTACCAATATACAGATGAGAAAATTGTCAGTACTTATTACAAATTTTAACCCAAAAAACGGCCACAGCAAGCCCCAAGAGATGATCCTTTTGGAAAAGCATTTCTTACGCGAGGCAGGATTTCGGATTCGGCGAAGAAAGCATTAATAAGCCCGTATTTCCTCTACGATACTGGAGTACCGAACTGGCCCTCATTGAATCTACAAAACAGCTCCCAATCTCTCCAGTAATAAAGAAAGCGTATGCTCAGTTTGGCCCTCTACTGAGCTACAATCGTGTACAGCTCAAGAATCCAATGATATGCAGGCGGCCTTTTCTCGAGTCACTAACACCACTAAACCATTAAGTGTGAGGATGAGGGATGTATGTGTACAATATCGTGGTAGTAATACAAGGATTGTACAGAAGAAAAGTGGTGGGTTTTTCGCGAAAGCATGTGTTCATTTTGGAAGGAGTTGTGTTCAGCAATCGATTTCAACCAGAGTGATGACATCGTGGTTGTAGGGTTAAGAGACAGGTTCGCGCACTTATGTTGATAGGTCTAGTGTTCACGTGCTATTGTTTTCTGTCTTTTCTCAATCAATAGGTGTTTCCCCACAAGTTAGTTTGCTTTTGTTTTCGTGAAAAGCCGCACTTTGGATGCAGTAAAACTATCTCACAAGTACCAATGCCCTTCTCCTTTCCCCGAAGGTAAACTGACAAATGTACAGACAACTAATAATTCCGGATATCACTTTTCAATATTCTGACACCCCACCGGACGTCACTGTTGTACTTATACGTACACACGTGCTAGAGATTGGACGACCGCAGAAATTTTCGCGACCTTACTGCGAATATTTTATGTATATGTAAATTGTATGTTATAGAATATATATTATATTTATCCAGGTTGCAAACATGGGCTGGGATATTTAATTAAAATGTTCAGCAGCGTATGGGAGTTCCCCAAAGGCCAGTCATTAGCGGAATCACGCCACCATACTGATATATATGCTGGAAACTAAATAACGTAGCTAAAGAGGAGAATATTCCATGAAGTATCAAGACCATGCGCCAAAAAACTCACTTAATCCCAAGTTGTTGCAGTTGTTTCAAGCATCCAATTGAGGAAGGAAGTTCACCGATGCAGTTGTAGTCAAGCAAAAGGCGTATCAGTTTGGTACAGCTTGCAATGGCTGAAATATGAATCAGAGACGGCACTAAAACAGTCAGTTTATTGCCACAAACGATGGACTTATGAGTTCGTCTAAACCAGTAGGATTTTCAAAAAACTACGAGATGTTTCCGAATCAAAATTGCGATCGCGTGGAATAAAATATTTTAATGAGTTTGAATGGCACAAAATCAAAACACTCAGTTGCAGCGGTATTTTAGTATTTGGCCGGAGAATGTATGGGAATCAGGCCTTCGTCAGTCTGTCCAGAAGGAATCTAATGAGCACGACTTCACCTACCAGCCAACCCAATACCCACATCAAATTGGAGGGTTCCGACGCTAGGAGCGTGTTCAGGGTAGAATGTATGGAGCTTTAGGCGAAAGAATAAGACGAAACAGTATGGACGGATACAATTAATGATAGACCATTCAAAAGTATACAAATGATGGAAATATATGTAAGCTCTCATGCAATATACAAATCAGTTATCCCGGAAAACCGTGTCGGGGGTACCAGCAAGGGTGACCAAATCAGTCAATTCTCTGAAGCCCAAGTCAACTGCAGTCTATCCAGGCTGTTTTTATACGCCTCATGAATAATATTAGGTACTGAGTGAAGAACAGTGACCGTGAGTGGCTGACGATACATCTTCCCAAAAAAATACTATTAGGTTTGTTTAACTCCCGGCCAACCAGAAAGATTTGTAAATCTAGTACCTGTTTGAGTATGGAAAAAGGTGCCCAAACGGGGTAGGTTCCACACTGCATGGCAGATAGGAAACAGTAATAATTCCCAGAATAATGCAGACCGTGATTTGAACTATTTGACAGGCCACGATAAATTTCTAGTTATGGGATATTGGTTGGGCTTAAAAATGTATACTACCAGCGTAGAGCGGTGACAGGGATACGGTTTCTTCATCAGCATTGTACAAACAACGAAAAAAACTACATAAACAGGGAGTATTTTCAAGCCACTAGCCAGGTCCCAGTTGCTGCATCATGTTGTTACGCTCTCATGCAACTGCGTGCAAGGCCCATATAGGCAAGAAAAAATGTAACGATGGGATAACCTCGTTTAGGGAGTTGTTGGGACAAGTCACTACCATCCATGTGGCGGGTGAACCACAAATTTTTTCGCTGTGGTTACGGTAGTCTGTCATCGGGGTAAAAATCAGAATGTGAACGGATGAGAGTTGGTCATTTTTTTACTTGACACCCACGAAAAGCTGATTAATATGCTATTCCAACGTATTTGAGAGAGTATGTTGTGAAGTTACCAAAACTACTGCTTCTCATTGCACTCCTGGAGAAGGGACGATTTAGCAGAAGGCCACGTGGTGAATACGCTTCAGTGGGTGTAGTATGTACCCCCTATATAGAACCCTCCTGAGATGTGTCATCGTCCCTCTGAAACTGGGTGCTTGGAGGATTGAAAAGCTAGTCGTGTGCAACTGAGTATGTGAAGACCATGTGATTTGCTGGGCTTACACGTTATGTTGAAGTTGTCATTCTCAAATCCCAGGTAAAAGGAAACCGTTGATCGATTAAAACAATGTTGGGTGGCAACAAGCAGGTCTGTCGATATTACGATGATGTCCTCAGGGTCTGCCCGAAGAAATAGCAACTAGGTTTCATACATCTATTTGTACTGTAGTAGTCATCCCGACGTACAATGAAGTACAATCGTAGTAACAGTAATAGTAATGTTACTGGATGCAGATGTCGTAAGAACTATATGTTGGTTCATATTCTAGTGAGATTACATCTAAAATGCGGTCACTAGTTTTCTTACGTCATAAACCTTTAGTAATGTGAATTTCGCCAAGTAGTTTATGAACTAAGTCCCCGTAGATGCACACTATTGAAGTAAGCATGGGATAATGTGGACATCAATCAAGGTACCAGAAGTGTGGCAAAATAGTGGAAATTCCCAAATGTTTGTGCTTCCGGCATTGCAAGTGAACCGTCCTAAGAAAAAAATCAAAACAAAACACTTGATATACAGTAAAATTGAGGGAAAACCCTAACATATTCAGGTTCATAGCTCAGTTTCTTCGAAAAGGTGACAAATGTCCAAACGAGGGAGAGTCGCATTAGTCAGTCACTCGGTTGCAGAGGAGCACTCATATCCGGTTCTCCTTAATTATGCTCGAAAATGAAACTGATATCTTGTCACACGACTATCTGCTTCATTCATGTAACACAACGTTGCCACGACTGTTAACTGCAGTTGGACGCGCGCACTATTCACATGCTCATTGACTTCTCACCCAGCTTAACCCGAAGTGCTTTCACCTCCTTGCATAAAAACTACGGCTCCTATGGGTGACTACTGGCCATCAGGAGAACGTTCCGGTACCATCCAAACTTGTCTATTCGAAAGACGGATACTGAATCCATTAAAAAGTCGATAGTCTTTATATCTGCAACACAGAAATCAACGTCGTGACTTCGCTGTCGAGTCATAGTGTACCAAAAGAAGGCAAGTCCACACAATGGCTGGAATCGGGCAAGATCATAGTTGGATGTTGAGCCATTTTCTGGCCAGTCTTTGTGAACAGCACATGGACGAAACATGAAAAGCCCATTTGAACGGTTACTGGAATATGGATGGCTGCGAAATCGGAGCGTGGAATTTCGGAGCCACTAACCGATTAGAAAACAGCATGAAGTCCAGTCGGCATTTCCAAGAGGAACATCTACTATACAGTAAAACAGCTGTGCGTTTCAGAGAAGTTCACTAACAGTTTTGGACTGAAACTTAAGGAACTGCAGTTCAAATAAGGCATACTTTCAAAATGTCCTTAGTTTTCGTTGAAAAACGTCCACTGTTTTCACGTTAAAACTGTATTCCGCACACGTATTGACCCGTTTCCTTTGGTATTTACATCTCTAATAGTGTTCGAGTAGTCCACTTTCTAGACCACCTGGCAGTTTGAAGTCGGTAACCTACTAGATCCAACTGTGACCGAACACGAACGAGGATACAAACAAACACAAACAGCGACGCACACCAGCAGTAAAGTCAAGCACACAGTCGACAGGTGGCTACTCACCGGAAGTTCGCACGGTTAAGTCACACAAGTACTCGCTACACCGAACATGCCATCTACCAACGTCGGCGACGTTGCACCAAAATTTCGACAAGAAATTGAGTGACAGAGATAAATCGGCGTGTGACTTTTTTGTTCTTATGTGCACTGCCGTGAATAGTTGTCAGTCTCCTAGTTAGTAATGGTAACCCTCGTGTCGAGGTAGCTGAAGCTAAACGATTTTTTAACAGATAATTCTTCAAACTTGGCCACATAGCTCGTAAAGCTTAACTTATTGTATATTCTCGAATTCGGGCAGTTTGAACGGATGTACCGTCTGCAATCACCGTTTTCTATCGCGAAATAATGGACTATAATACACACATATATTATATATATTACATATAATTGGTAGCCTAGATTGTAGTGGCTTGGTGGTGCGAGAGGAATACAACTTTCAAAATAGGACGAGGTTAGTTGCAAAGAGAAGTTCGACGAAGATGATCCAGTTGACTGTAAGAGAATACGTATATCGCCCATCGGTTTTTCTCAGTCAGTTTTGTCCTAAAAACTAGAAGACGACTAAGGAGATTTACCTGGGGAGACAAAAGATGACAAGTAAGCAGAGAGACTCACTACTGAACTTAAGTGGACTGCTTTGCCACTCTTTCGGGTAGGTTTCCAAAAGATGGTAACGATATCTGAATAAAGATATTTGCCCATATGGTAATGAACTGAATCCGGTGCCGCATGTTATATGCTTTTCGTCTAGCTTTCCGACATCAGTTTTCAACGAATTATTCTTTCGAAAATACCACTGGGCTACAAAGACCGGATAAGCCACCCTAAGACGAACCCGCTAGTGTGTGTACCTACTCATGGTCGCTGGTGGTCGAACGGTTTAGTTCTAAACTAATCTTCGGAAGATAATAACCGTTCAGCCTAGCTGTCTAGCTACCATGTCACACGGAGGAAGGAAGTCGGAAAATCTGGGTTCGAATCGCTCTGACGATCCTCTGGACGCCCAGTCCTGGTGATCCATATAAAGGATGAAGAAGCTGCACAGTGAACATCACCTTTTTGACATAAATTGTCTTCAGTTACGAGACGGGATATTCACTGAAATTCCCCAATTTTTTATGCCAGATTGGATTCCGAAGTAATACTCTCTGGGAAACCCTTAACTCCTCTGTGACTGTCTGTCAGACACGAATTGCTTCCCAAGTGAAAACCATGTGCACTAGGTAAGCAAACAGATAGATGATCACATGTGTCCACTGAAACGGTTTCTGGTGTGATATTTAGTATCCATACACAATGCATATCTGTATTTTATGCACAAAACGCAGTAAGGACGTGATAAACACCTCAAAAATGTCTACTTCATCAAGAAACCTCCACTCTTTTTATTTTCGATTCACTATGCGGTGTGTAAGTCCGTTTGCGTTCGTTCCAAACATTATTACAGAAGAAAATACACTCACCATCAGGCAGAATAGTTATGCGATTCTTCGAACAGTCTAGGATTTGTAGCTTGGTCAGCTGTCCCAGATCCTCGGGTAGAGGGCCCTGGAGGTTATTGGACTTGACAACCAAAATTTGAAGATCCTACAAAAGCCATGCAATTACGAAAGTTGGCTATGGGTTACGAAAATATGTAAGTGGGCTAGCTACCCTTTGCCTGTCATGCACACAAAAACTGAGCTCCAGAGATAGGTCAATACCTAATGGGCGAGCTTATTGACCGGAAGTCCTGATTCGAACNCTCGGCATTCCGACTGCTCCCATCTAGGCTTAGATGATCTGGAAGTATCTCAGCATTCGTGCTTTTTTGGGTGCTATGACAGCTATGCACTGAAAGGGTATTACAGCTGAGTGACCACTAGGTTTTTATTATACAAGGACCAAATACCTCACAGTAAGCTGAAATGTTATCCGACGGACACTTTAATTGAGTTCGGATCTAGCCCCAAAGCAATGTAATAAGTCATCCAATGAACAACCTCAAGTGTGTTGTATTTTTACATTACAAAATTACGTTTTTGCTCATGTACCTTGTACAAATAAAGAAACTCTATGAAAGAAAAACTGGTTCACTTAAAAGTGTCATATGGACTTGTGTCGACCTACATATTTACTTTTTATGTTATCGTACACAAAATTGCTTCCAGTAGGATAAGTACAATAATCACAATAATAATAGTAAAACAGTGGTACAAAAAACAAATCAGAACATCATTTTACTTTCATTTAAGCCCCTTTTTAAGAATAACCCATTTCGCAGTAGTTTCCAGAAAAGAACAACGATTCTAAACCAGCTGCTTGAAGGAGTGTGAGTTAACCGAGGGGGGGTTACGGACAACTTGTGAACCAATCTGTTCATGCGTGAAAAATTGTTGAGCACCAGAAACACCACCCTACATGTCAAATGAGGGTGTCTTCAAAGTAGACAAGATAAGCGTGCGTCTGCAACCAAAATTACGCCCAAAGTATTCACCTAGCGTTTGGCATTAATCTCACCACTGATAAAATGCCCCAATAAAAATGTGCATTTGATTCAATCAGTTGAACTAGTCTAAATTTGAAATTAAGGAAGAAACAATGAGGCACTGAGTACCACACATTCTTGACAGAGTGTGACCAGGAACAGTCTGTGAACTATTGTCTCATGAACGATCAGTCGTGCAGAGTCCCAGGTGGCCAAAGAAACGGCAGCTTTTGGGTCGTTGCTTGTTTTAAGCAGATGACAGCTAATCAACAATGTAAATGCTGACGCTATTCGCGAGCAACTGATAGCCCATACTGCTGGCCCTAGTAGTTACTGGTGTAACGGTAATACTACTAACGGGGGGCAAGCGAGTAGCATATTTTCTTCTTGTAAATTCGCTTGCATCTCTTGAAAAGGGAGATCTATTACGGAATTTCGAGGAGTTGCTTTATAGCATTTGCTTGGACTTGAGCAACAGTCAATGAATATCCAGGAAAGTTCAGCACGACGCGTTCAAGAGAAGATGGATGTTCAGGTTTTGTCAACCAGATGCATATGAGAGTTTTGCTTCCCTGTTCAAGTCTGTAACTGGTCAGTTGGCATTTTCTAGTAAATAACTCCGCAGTGAAGACCTTATTCTTTCCACTGGTAGCTACTGTTCACGAATCCTAACTGAATGGACAATAGACCCGTCGGCTACACCGTTCATGTTGCCCAGAGACAGTAGAAGAAAGTAGGTGACATTTAAATATTAAAAATTGATATTGGTAATCGCCTGAATGCAATACCGAAATCTCTGGTGCAGATCATTTTCAGGGATACAGAAAACACCCTTTTGTTCATTGGGTCAGCTTAAATTGTTCCCTTCTAATTTACGACGAAGATACAACAACGTTTCCCAAGCACATATACAGGAGGGCTTTGGATAATTTACTGGTTTGGTATAGAAAATCAACGTGACAAAAGGAGGGCTAAAGGATAACAAGGCGAAACGCAGTCGATAATCATCGGTATCACAAGCATGCTAGTGTAGTTGAGTTGAGGTGAGTAATTCATCCCGACAACTAACTCCGTCACATAAGTGAACGCCTTACATATTGCTATTTCATTGGTGTTAGAAACAGGGCCGCCTGTTATGAACAAAACTCGGAAGGTGTAGCTCAGATATGGATGAAAACTTTGCCAACATTGAAATTATTTTTGTCCCACAGTCTCTAGCTGATTTTCGTCTGCACCTTAATTGTTTGCTCACTTGCTGTAGCTTCAACAGTGCGACTTTTCTCTCCTGAGGAGGACCGTGGAAGTACGTGTCAAAACACATCCATAAATTCGGAAGTTGGCTCACCAACGTTGCTTTTATGCAGGCCTGCTTACTCATAACGACCACCTGAACTGCCATCCTTACACAGCAAACTTTTCCTTGCTTTATAAATTCGCTGTTTCCACATGCTGTTCTTTTTGTCTTTCACATAGTGCTGGTCCAAACTGCAAGATAACTGGTCGATTGCCCTGTTTATCCTCCTGCGAACGACCTTTTTAAAAGTTTGCTTGATAGTGTGGGAGCAATATTGATAAGTATTAGGTGTAGCAATCGTTCAGTCGAATCACTGACATCCCTAAGAGTGTATTTGGATGAGTTTCAGGATAACTGAAAGGCTAGATGGACGACAGTCAGCGTACTAATGCACGAATACAGATTTCATCATAACTGGATATAAACATGAAGGACGGTTCCAGATCTAAAAAGCATACCATCCTATCCTCTGTATTTCGTTGGGCCGAACATTTTTGTATCAAGAAACTTACAATATCCTCTTAGGGACATCCAGTATCCGGAGAAACCCGTCGTAAAACAGCATTCTCTCCCAGCCGATGTAAAGTAAAGGAATTAAGTACGCGCTAAAGCGCTTTGCAAAAAATCGGATGACGGAAGGCTGTTAGGTTTCCATTCCCTGACGTCCTTGAACCAATGAGGTTAAGTTGTTCAAACGTATGGAGGTGGATAACTATGCAAGTTAGAGGTTTCTGAGTCAATGATAATCATTAGGCACTAACGTCCCACCTTCATAGATCCTTCCAGTTGCTTTAGGAAAAACTGTCCAGTGTTCTTCACACAAGAAAAAACGAAAGCCTCTGGTGTATCCGTGACATAGCGTTGGATTACAAAGGCATGTGTTGCTGACAAACGTGACGGTGTATCGAAGAAAATTAAGTGGCCTATCAGTGTTGCCGCGATATCCAGGAAGTTTCCGTTAGTTTGTTGACTCATTCAGTGTAAAAATCCTGGTATTCGTTTAAGACTGGATTGCCAATGTTTTATGTTCTCCTACTTGGCCACTCGTTTTTTCCGCGTTTCGTTGCAGAATATGGCCTTTTACTGAGAATAACAGATTCGCTTAAGAAGACGAAAATTTATCCCTTCTTACAGTATGCACATGTCTGACATCGATTTAGCAGTTGTTTTAGGTCACTCCGTTTTCTGCCGGTTTTCACTTGGGTTTGGTGCAGCTTACAGTCAACGCTGCGAATAAACTTTGTGTTCTGATTCCTCCTAGGAAATGCATCCCAAAGAGTTTCAACATGCAGTCTTAGAGTCTATTTCAGTGGACTGAGTGCCATCGTGAGAGACGAGGATACAAGCAGCGCGGTTAAGCTACTTATACTGTGCAACATTGCCTAAGAGCTGTCTTTTGTGTATTGCTCGACCACAATAACGTTGCAGCTCTTAGTTGTTCAGTAAGGGAGAAATCAAGCAACTTGTTGTCAGTGAAATTTAGCCTCTCATGCAAATTTCCCACGCACATCAATTAACACTGCTGAATGGCAGAAATCTAGACTTTCAGGTCCTTCAGCCGTGTGCGATGTGTCGCAACATTTCTCAGAGCTGTAAATCTATACCAGCGATATCCGCATACGTCTGCTTTAGTCACCTGAAGATTGTAAAGTCTTGGGGGCCGCTAACTATGAGATATCACTTGCACAACGGTTGTTCTCCTCCATTTTTGGTCTCTGTAAACTTATGTCTGAAGCTATATTTCAGTTGTAATCTCACCTGAAAAACAGCTAAATCCACGTATCAGAGTGTTGGATACCCATCCTTATGAGAGGCGAGGAGCCTAACCAAGGGATTAAAAAAACAGATGGGTTGGAACTTATTATGCGGAATATTTCCGTCCATTTGGGGACAAGATGGCTCGGTGGTTAGAGTGCAAATTTGCAGATCGGAAGGTCAGTGGTTCGAATCCGACCTTTGCCTCTCAACTGCCCTTGTCTAGGCTTGGTCAACCTTACAATATCCCAGTCCTCTTGCTTCCTTCTGTTGACATTGCAGTCAAGCGCCAAAAAGATACTACAGCTGAACGATTTTTTCCCTACCCCTGTTGGCCGTCTTGTTTCGCGAGATTATCCGATCATCGTCTGAAAATTAAAACATCAAGCTGAGTCATGAGGTCAGAAATCTGGGTGGGAGGGGGCTGAACATCGATAAGGACCAAATTGTCCGTAAGTTTAACGGATGGCTCCAAGACATCCAGAAACCAGAACTAGAGCACTTCGCTCCTATTCGTATACTTTGACTCGTGGATTAGTGTTTTATAGCTTTCAGCTGTGACACCCTTCTGGTACCTAGCTGCCATGCAACCCGGAGGAAGCACGAGGGCTGAGATACTGCCATGTTTCCCAAGCCCAAACAGGAGAAGCCAAAAGGTAGGGGTCGGGCTTGAACCATGGACCTTTCGGTCAGTAAATTCGTGCTCTAAACACTTAGGCCATCCTGCCCATTAATATTTTATAACAAACAAAGTAGTTTTGGCAGCAACGTAATCCGGCTATATAGCACTTTTAGGCATTTTGGGCATGGTCCTGGAGTTTGGCAAGAACGGCAGGAGTGATGAAGTTCAGGAATTCACGGTGAAATTTGGATGACAGTTTTTGGGGAGAAGTAAGAAAGTGTAGCAGTTACGAATTCTTTCTGTTTATAAGTAATATTGGGGAAAATTAGACAGAGAGCATTCTCAGTACGCGAAGTCCTTCGTGCTCTTGAGGAATAAACCGATGGGGTTCAAAACCGAACGAATATCTCACTTGCGCTATGGTCACACAACAAGCTTTATCCGCCTTCCTAAGTACGTCTCTGCATGCATCTCAGTGGCCGTTGGGATGAGGGTTGTTCTCAAAACGGGAAGAAAAACTAAAAATGAAGATAGAATGCTTCGTGGCACTGTTGGCTACTCTTAAAAGAAATTAGTATTGTTTTAACAGCCTCACATTCGCTCAAAGCAGAGATCAGTGTGTCAGCAAGTCAGGTGAATTGCACGCGATTAAGTTAGTGCGGCTAAAAACCTTTTATTCACTGGTCTATCAAACGAATTATTGGAAGAGCTATTTGTCTACGCTGTCTCACCAAATAGCGTGCCGAACTAATCACTGTACACACAGAAACCAATAACTCAGAGGGACCGTGTCAAAAAGGGACTGATTTCGCCAAGTTCTGGAGGTACTTTTTACAAGAGTAGTTTCCTCATCTTCACACTTATAGTCACACTTATAGTCTCTAGTGCCTGTGAGGTCGAAATGATCCCAGGGTGTTTGCTCACAGATTTCGAATGCGTAGACGACATTGGTCTTCTTAGGCCTGATGTCAGGGTAATGCAGACAAGACTGAAACAATCTAAGTAATTCTGTCTCATGGTTTGGCAAGCGCTTCACGGCTAAATGTGTAGAATGCTGCTGCAGGACCGAACGGTTGCGAACCCGAACCTCACGCATGTGGATGGACCTGTTAAAGTGGCGGACAGCTGTGTCACTCTCAGTGGTCTATCCAAATCCGATATTTGTGTGCGCATCGGGAAGGTTAGAGGAGCTTTGTGAACCTGCATCACTTGTGGCGCAGGCGTGACATCAGTTTATCCGTCAGTAACTGAGTTTACAGTTCTGTGGTGCGCTCCATATAGGTATATGGGCAGGAAACACAAGCACTTCCCACTGAAGACATTGAAATACTTTCAGCATTTGACTGTCCGCATATTTGTGTCCTTGTCAGAATTTGGTGATAGAATCGGGTTAGTAAGGCCAAAGTACGTCTGATGGGTTTCGGGAGAAATAACTTATCTACAATAGATGAGTTGTTCAAAGTCCATAGATTGTGATGGGCTCATTAGACGCTTCGTACATTGGTTGGCTGACTCCATTGAAGATTCCTTCTGGCACCATCCGGCGAAGGGTGGAAGCGAGTCAGGACAGACCAGTGCGAGGCTGAGTAGGTGTTTATATTCTGGAAATCGTTCGACTATGTGTTATGTGGGTTTCTCCTAGCGACTGGAAAACTTTTAGGCTCTCATCTAGTACCGATACTATGTGAGAATGGTTTTGGTGCACTTCTGGTTGAGTGCTATAAATTTGTGTGGCCTCCATCGGTGATGTGGGTTCACCACCTGTGCTGCAGTTCTCGGACATATCCACCGGCTCAACCGTGGTAATCCCAGATTTTTTGCCCCAACTGACAGTTTATACCCTTAATGCCACTTTCCACTTTACACTTAGCTTACGTTTGCCCTGCCAACTTTACATAATTCGCCACAGCTTCAGACAATTAGCAGATGGCAAAAATGGTAGGATAAGATTATGTGGCAAGGAAATGATAAAAATCATGCGCAGCAGAGGACAGAGGACGCTGTTTGTACCCGTTCAGATTTTCAATTGGTGTCCTCCGTTCACTCATTCCGAGGTTGCCGGCTGACAAATGCGCCGTCCAAACCAGTAAATTACTTAATTCAGTATATCATGGTCCAGAGTGACTAAGTTCCCGCCAGCGTTTGAACCAACAACGGATTATCTGCTGGTAGTTTCCGGTATTCTTCCACAAATCCCGCCTCGTCAACGGGTTTGTGATACAAAATCGTCTGCCACAAAGTCCATAATGAGTCGAATAAAGCGCGCCGCAGGCGCAGGGTCAGGTTTCTAAAGTCTTTTCAGTTGGCCATTCCGAAGATTCGTGAGCCAACAGCGGTGGACAGGTGGGATTGCGATTGTAAAGCATCGCGCAGGCGCCACTTTTTAGAACGGCCAATAGCGCAGGTGTCAACATGAAAGTAATCTTCAGAAACATAAAAGGGTACAGTCAATTTTGAAGATCATATACTGTCTGTTCTTGCTGGGGGAAGTTCCGATTCTGGTGCAGAGAACTACATTCACAGGCATTCCTTCTTGGCCTACTCCTCGCCAGCAGCGCTTTGCAGACGATGGCGCTCTGTCGCTAGGTGGCCTCAATGTTTCGCAAAGGTAGCACCACACAGTTGGCTCTATGCGATCATGGAGTAGTGATTTTTTGCGAACTATTCCAACCTATTCTCGTCTATACTTCGCCTGCTTCTCTAAGCGTGTGCTTCCTTGATGCAACCGCCAGAGCCTTCTGGTGGTTTCGTGTGACAATCGGCTTTATCTGTTTACGCTCATTTTACAGCAGTTCCATCTGGTCTGTGGCAGATAAGTTTATGGTATTTTTTTTATAAAAATTTGACCGTCAGCTCTTTTTTCCATGTCTAAAGAGTTTCGTTAACACCACAGAAGTCCGCAGAGTGCTGTCATTTTTGCATCTGTGTGGCGTGTCCTTATGTCACCACCGCATTGTTGCAACGGATTTTAGGCTAAATTTTATACGCTATCTGGTCTGTGCTTCACTAAAGATACGTGGTGCATCATATCATCACCCACCTTTAAGCCATGTATGTGGGGACTGGCGTGCTTCGCACTCAACGACGTAACTCGTGATAAATTTGTTATGGGGTGAGACGGCTCAGTGGTTGCAGTACGAACTTACTGGCTGAAAGGTTCATAGTTTGTAGCTGACCTCTGACACTCAACCTCCCGTGTCTAGGCCGGGGCAAGCTGGCAGTGTCCCAGTCCTCGTGCTTTCTTCGGGTGGCATGGCAATTGGGCACTTAGATGGTGCTACAGCTGAATGATGTATGTATGTGTAAATTTATAATGGCTAACATTTAACAACTACCTGCTCACCGTGACGGCTGTCACTGGTCGTAAAGGGTCTGTTAAAAGCGGGTCCATACTGAAGAATTTTGAACTAGATATGTTCTTTTTGGCCTTGTATTATTTTGCGCTAACACAGAAACAATCAGCCACTCAAACCAAAGTGCTTCTGGTTAAAGTAGGGTCCTGCCAGCCGTGGGTTGGAAGTTTAGTCATCAGGAAACTATATGCCCTTGTGGTAGACATATGGCTTCCGTGGGCACCATCATGTGTCCGTGTTAATCGGACTGTGACAAATGACTAAGTGCAAGCTGCTCAATTTGGAGCAAGAACGACACACATTATCGTCTGAGATTCGCTCTCCTGGTTGCGTTTCTGCACTGGCGAAATTAAATACACGTTGATGCACAGGGTAACTAATGCCTGAGTGGCTTCTCTGCAAGTGCACCCATGCATAGCATATCCGTAACAACGCGCTCTATATATTTTATGTCACTGCAGCAACCTACGGTTGATTCTTAGCCATCCGCCTTTAAAATTCATTCCGAACTTGTCTCTGAAGTCGAATGTAGCCGAGGTAAGTGTTTCACCTTTGCGTGGATCAGCCACTCTGCTGGTGGTTAGGCTAGCAGCCGTCACCTTCAAACTATATAGACATTTAAGATAAGAACACCTTGTCCTCCTGTTAAATATGCAGCTGCTAAAGGCCCCCCCTCAAGCTTCTTGGGTCAGAGCTAACTCCAATAATATCAAAGAAACTCTAACTTCCCTTCCTTCAAAGAAGAGGCTGGATGCAACACTCAACAGGCTTGGACTTCTTAAATGCTATTTAAAACCGACTCCACATAACTGCTAGATGGTCACATCATTCACGCTCTCCATCAGTTTAGAGACAACACCTTCACCACGGTTTTGTTGTTTTCTACTGTCAAGAGCTTTTTCGGCCCACAGTTCAGCAAGGGAGCAAGCATGTGCCTCAAGTGGCAGATGTTGTGCCTGATTGTCGGCAAGCATTTGGCACAACAGCAAACGTCGTATAGTACTTTTCTGGTTTTAAAACGGGCACCTTCCAAAAGAATGCGCACTTGGCTCTCCTGTTTACCTGCCCCCAGTTATGATTCTGGGTTTTCGCCTGGCGCTTTCCCAAGGAACGCCTGAAATTCGTTATTCTTCCACTAGTGAATAACTTTGGCTTTTCAGTTTAACGGCTTTGTATAGCATTGGGGTAATTTTAACGCAGAAACCACGTCCCCCTATTTCACACAAGTCATATTGCAATGTCAGCGACTATAACCAGCAAACACGCACTTCATATCTCTGCTCGACCGATTTCACCTTATTTCACTCAGCCATTTCTCCAGTAATGCGACCTCTGAAATATGGGATTGCCTATAGGATCGTCTTCCAGTAGAACTTTTTGGCTTGTTTTGTACTCGCAGGTCCAGTGCCATTAGATATGAGCTAACTGAACTCCCTGAAGCCTGAAAGGAGTAGTTCCGCTTAACCCAAATAAAGTACGATAAAACTTTTCATGCGCCACTTTAAAATACTTACTCTTAAAAGGTAGACTGTAGGGTCCTATGGATGCTCGCCAATAAAACCAGGGATATCAGTGTTCTAAAACGGCATGTAAAACCCATCAGAGATGACCACGAAAAATCAGACAGCAAAAACAGTTACATAGCTCTTGTGTCTTGACTGCAACACTTCCGAACTTCCGATGCCTTTCAGCACAGGTGGAGAGGATTTTATGTCTTATCGGACTAGCCAGCCAGTTTTATCCTGCATTGTCGGCCAATCTTAACGTTCACTGGAACCCAAAAGAAGACCATGTTTTCCAGCTCACCTTAAGGTTACCAACCCCAGAAATGTCGTTCAGCTTGTTGTATGTCAGCAGGAGCTGTTGCAGGCAGCGTAAACCTAAGATGACTGATGGAAGTGCTCCATCCAGGCGATTGTGACGAAGGTCCAAATGAGTCAAATTTGCACAGCGCTCCATTTCACTCGGTAAAGAGTAAATATAGTTTTCTTGTAGCCACAGCTGACCAAAGTGCATGCTGTAAATCCAACTTACCTTCTGTAATCTACGTAGGTTTCCTATCTGTGGGGGGAGATAAGACAGCTTATTCTCATAAAGAAACAGATCTTGTAAATTCGTCAGGGTACCGATATCCGCCGAAAGGCTATCCAGAGAGAGGTTGGATAGATCAAGTAAACTGCAACCTCTTGATTCTGCTATGACGTTGACGCCGTCCTGAAGTAATCAGGTTAAAAGTAATAATCGCAAAAACCTACTGCATGTTTCGTCTTCTTGGACCTTTTAACACAAATGATCTTCCCGTTGTCGTCGAATAAAACAGTCTTCTTTAGAACGGGAGTATAAGGTGACACATGGATAGAGCGTTGCTCTTCAAAATCAGGTAGGGATGAAGATGATATTTCTTATGAAAGTATAATGAGATTAGACGATAAATTTAACCTACCTCGTGCCAGTAATGCACTTCGACCTCTCCAATGAGGCCTTCGTATTCTGAAGACACTGGAGACTGTATGCGACCTTCTTCGCTAAATTCAGTAAATACACATCCGTTTATTCTCACGGAAACAGCACTCACATGCATGATATTTCAGACTACCGCCAATAGTTAAGGTCACGGGTTTCACGGATTTATATACAGGATCGATGCATTTACCCAAGTTTCCCGGGTCGGGTTTGTTCTTGTCCTTCAGCGGCTGTCGTTCACCTGAAATGTACAATTGAAACAAGGGTGTTGCACTTGTCTTTAAGTTCACATCGCGGGGCATTATGCTTGCTAGCACGAGCGAAATGGCCGCTACTGTTCATCGGGAAAAATTCAGATGGATTGGGCACAATGAATATGCGGAATGTAGTCTTTAGCAATGGTATCCGACAAGTGTTTCACTAGCAGACTTAAATAGGGGACTATGTGTAATCTCCTTACCTGCGGCGATGAATAAACTGAATGGGTTTTCGGTATTCAGTTGACAAAGTGTAGTGGGCCGTCCATTGTGGCCTGTGGCGTTTTGTACCTTTATTTTACTTCCATTATAACAGTACGTATTTCATCAATTGCATAATCGTTTTTTGTTTGAATACGAAAAACTACAAAAACGCGCACTTGTACAATTTAACCTAATACAAGCGTGGTCACGTGCTTCGACTCTCTCTTCTGATTTCGCTCGCGCTTGCAGCGGTCATTCGCGAGTCCCATGTACTGACTCTGGTACCAAAACATTTCAGACATCTTCGGAATCTATTATATGTAGGAAGAAGACCGCTGGAACAACATAATTGGATTATCGTTTGTTCGCTGACCTGGGCCAACGACGAACTATTTTAAAGAGACCAATTGTTAGTGAGTCTGTTCCATCTGACCTCTTCATTTTTGTATACCCAACCTGGCGTAATTATTTTTATTTCTTTGCCACACACTCCTGGTAAACTAACTTATAGGGTAGCCAGACTGTAAGATCCGGACGGTTAAGGATCTCACAGGACGATTGCGAATATTAGATTATACGCAGTTCGTAGCCAGTAGTCAATAGGAGCAGACAGACGTGGGGCAGTAGATGATATATTGAAGACTGACAGGAACTGGTTCTACAGAAAAACGAATTAGTAAGCATCATGAATTAAGAAAACGTACAATCAACAATGACGCAATCTGTAGGAGCGGGAAGCAGTCACTGTTACAGCACGGGTTTCTGTAGGGGCAACAAGAAGTAAGTACCAAACGATGTGCAAACATACATATCGGGGCAGTCTGACAGTATGAGTTGGCCGTAACGGCGCAGGAGTCAGTACGTTCGGGATTTGAGGGACTGTCTTTCGGTCGGTGTCGACGCAGCCGCTCGTGTCGCGCGACAGGTCAGATTGCGCGGTTTCGGCCGTTTAAAACAAAGCTCAGCAGGGGCTATCTGGCAGGCGTGATGCATGGATAATACAAAATAAACAGCTGTGTTGGACGTCCGGTTGGTGTAGTCGGTAACGTGTTCGCCTGCTGTCTGCAGACTCTGGGTTCGATACCCGGTCGGCGCGCTTTTCGGTCGGAGTGGACGCTCGTGAATAGGTGCAATCCAGACGAACTTGCAAGCAATGACGGACGGGCATATTAAGTATTGACATCACTTACTGAGGAATAAGCAGACATTAAGCCGGGACGAAACAGGGGGAAAACGGGCAAAGAAGCGAAACGGTGTCATAATAAACAGATGCGAGTCACGTTACTCATGAGTAGTCAGAAAACAAGGAAAGTTACCCTTGTTCACCGTTGATTCACAGGGGGAATCAACACAGACCACAACAAATTTGGTGAGTCCGAGTATTTCTAGATATTTTTTGAAAGCTTTTCCTTTCAAGTCGTCGTAATTTTGTTTCTTTTGCCCGGTAATTATGGAGGCACACTTTGATTCAGCGGATTTAGCCGAGAATGCGGTTAGCATACGTTTACAGACTACAATCCACGCAACCTCATGGTATGGTTTCACCATGTGGAGGCCGTTTTTACTACCCGAGGCATCACTTCCCAGGCCACCCGGTTTTCCTATGTTGTCCAGCATCTTCCGTGTGATGTAGCAACAGAGTTGGAAGATGTATTGGAAGATATTCCCAAGGAAAATCCGTATGACGCCCTTTGGGCGGCCGTCATAAGTTGGACAGGGAAATCGAAAAAAGTGCTACGGGATATATTCATCACTGTCGAACTTGGGGACAGATCGCCATCACAAATGCTTCGCCACATGTGCAGTCTCCTCTGCGGCCGTAAGCTAGCGGTTGAAATCATGGCCCGACTATGGCTCGAAAAACTCCAACCCTCCAAGTCCCACGTCATCAGCGCTTTCGTTGACGACCACAGCTTGGATCAGTTATCCCAAATGGCGGATAATATCCACGGAAATTATGCCAGTAACCCCGTAAACTCCGTCTCTCGCCCTGCGTCCACTACTACAGATTCCGACCCGCTTCTTGCTTACGTATCGCACCTACAAGCCAAGCTTGATGCTTTGACCGATCACCTACAACGGTTAGAGATCAACAGGCATCGACCACGTTTACGATCCAAATCGTCTTCTCGTGCCCGTCCCTCTTGGAGCTGATATCACCAATCTTATGGCCCAAAAGCACGCAGGTGTCAGCCACCTCGTTCCTTCAAGCCGCGTTCCAAAACCCCGGCTAGTCAGTAACGGCGACGACTGTCTGTGGCCCTCCTCGCACTAGTCGCCTGTTCCACATCACCGATCGTTCAAGTGGTCTACGTTTCCTCGTAGATACGGGAGCTGAAGTTAGTGTGCTACCACATAAGA